TTTTTTTTTTTTTTTTTTTTTTTTTTTTGCCTTTTTTTTTTTTTTTATTAGTGGGCACTGCCGAAGGGGCATACGCGACGTCATTGTATTTAGTTTGACGTACCACTTGGGCTAGAACCGTACTGAGGAAAAAAAAAAAAACATGTTCAAAAATTTCTTCAAATGTGAGAATGCCTCACCGCATAAGCCGCACGTTGATCCTACAATAAAGAGTTGCCATTGTTCCGCTTTATTATTTTGTTATATTATATTATTTTTTTTTTTTTCTTAATTTTGCCACTTGGCCATTTGCTAATCTACGTGTCCTCGAACAACATGAGCTTCACAATAGAAGCTGAGTACTATGTGCCCCCCGAGGTTCTCTTCAATGCCTTCACAGACTCCTACACGCTGACGAGACTCTCCAGGGGTTCACCCGCCCAGGCGGTAAGCAGGATGGAGAGCAAGTGATAGCAAGGGATAAGAAGCCGCCCCTCAGAGAGAAGCATTGGCATGCTTGTTGAAGGACGTGTCATATGTATACTGATGTCCCGTGGTGTAGCTCCTCAGCAGAAAAGCACACACACACATATATATAATACGCCATGCCTTTTCTTTACCCAATTAACCTTTTAGGATGCCAAGGTTGGCGGGAGTTTCTCCCTGTTCGCGGGAAGCGTTTATGGTGAATTCATGAAAATTGAAAAGCCACAAAAAATTATTCAAAAATGGAAGTTCATTGACTGGTGCGACAAGGACTACAGCACAGTGACGTTGGAGTTTAAGAAAGTAAAAGAAAATCACACCTTGCTTAAGTTGACCCAGGAAAATATTCCCACCAAGAATAAGTTCGACGAAGGTATGTGTGTAAATACATTTTGTCGTCCTGGCGCAGCAGACGGCGTGACGACCACATGCGGGAAATTTTTTCCATAGAGTAGCTCACTGTACATATATGTTTATATGTTAATGTATCGCCCTTTCAGAGGGCACTTAGTTAAGTACCGTGCGCATAACTTTTATTGCCCATATGAACTCGCCTTTCCCCTGCCCCCCCTTGTCCTTTTTATTTTTTCTTCAGGTGGCGTCTTGGAACGGTGCAGAAATGGGTGGACTGAAAATTTATTGCACAATATAGAAGTGATATTGGGATACCCTAAGAAGAACTAGATGCAGAAGTGGAGAGAGTGGCGTCGATGCATCCCCTCACCATCCCGCCTCCTGTAGGAGAACACCCGGGACATATATCCTTATGATATGTACACTATGTGCATTGTGCATCCTTTTCGCACGACAGTTGTTTTTTTATTTTTTATTTTTTTTTTTTGGACCCTTCGAACGACGAACTGTTGAAGCTTCCTTCATTGGTGATAACCCACCAGAGGGGGGGATTACTCCGGTGGGGAGACGAAATGTTTCCCCCTTCCTGTGTGTTTTTGCGTAGAGGTTAAGGCTAGGCTTGCCGCTTGAGCCACTTGGTGCGTGGCAAGAACACCTTGGCTGCTCCTCAACCGTTTTGTTCTTTGAGATAGGCCCCCCAGTGAAGGTGCTCCATGCGAGCGGGGGAAAATTCACAAAACGTCTTTTCTCGCCATCGGGAACCAACGCGCGCATAGAAGTACTCTATTGTGGATGACGTACAAATGTATACATGTTGCCTTTTTAAGGTTTCTCTATTTAAAGTTTTTTTTTTTTTTCCCTGGTTGGAGCATAGCTTTTACCGTTGTCACACCTCTGGTGGGCAAACTGTTGAGATACATCACAGCGGTCGGCGGGTTTTGCAGATTAGCGGAGAGTCGGCGAAAGTGGAAGGAGGGGCATCTAACATGTGCTCCCCTGTGTGGGTATAACGCAGCGTAAATTGACCTAACGCAATGTTGTTCAATTAGCTTGACTTGCCTCTTTTTTTTTTTTTTTTTTTTTTTTCCGGAGTAACCTTGTAGCACTGAACGCGGCTCCCGCAACGGGGCAGTCACCACGATATGACGACGGCAGGGAACCCAACAGGGAATTATAAAAAAAAAAAAAAGAGAAAAAAAAAAAAAAAAAAAAAACCCACAAAGGGAAACAAATAAGGGAACAGCTGGCATAAGCGAAAAAATCTCTACGCTGATGGCTAGGCCTCCCGTTTTGGCAAAATAACAGTCGCGGGGAAATCTGTGGTAGCC